TGCATGTTTTCGCTCATTCGGGAATATTTACATGTTTTTGCTTTAATTTTTTGTACAGATAATTATAATCACTTATGTAAAAAATAAGTAATTATTGTGCTTATCAACTCCCGAGGGCATCTTCTGCTACCTTGTCATGGCCTTCAGTCTAAAGAACTCAGGCGCCACCTACACTCGGATGGTGGGCAGGGTATTCCAAACTGTCCTAGGGCGTACCATGGAGGCATATGTTGACGACATAATCGTCAAAAGCAAGCAGTCAGCAAGCCATGCTGACGATCTGAGGGAGATCTTCGCCATCATGCAGAAATTCAGCCTTCGGCTGAACCCAAAGAAGTGTACCTTCGGCATTCAGGGGGGCAAATTCTTGGGCTACATGGTGAGTCGAAGGGGTATCGAGGCCAACCCCGAGAAGATCCAGGCCATCATCAACATGGAGCCCCCACGCAACGTAAAAGAGGTCCAATGATTAACGGGCCGCCTGGCAGCCCTCAATCGCTTCTTATCAAAATCGGCGGAGAAGTCCTTACCCTTCTTCCAGATCATGAGAAAAATCGCCGGTTTCCAGTGGACTTCAGAGTGTCAGGGGGCCTTCGAGGAACTGAAACGGTACTTATCTTCGCCCCCTGTGCTCTCTAAACCCAAGGTAGGGGAGATCCTATACCTTTACCTGGGTGTTAGCCCGGCAGCCATCAGCTCAGTACTCATCCGGGAAGAGGATGACATCCAACATGCCATCTTCTATGTTAGCAAGACCCTCAGGGAAGCGGAGCTCCGGTACTCCCCCGTGGAAAAAACGGTGTTGGCTATCGTGTGGACCATCAAGAAGTTGGGCCATTACTTCCAAGCTCACCCGGTCCAGGTTCTCACTCACCAACCCCTCGGCGCCTTGATGAGGAGCCCCACCAGCTCCTCCCGAATGGTAAATGAGCTGTCTTCTTGAGCCAATACAACATCGACATCCGTCCTAGGCCCGCCATCAAGGGCCAAGCCCTAGCGGACTTCGTGACGGAATGTACGGCAAGATCAGCCACGGACGAGGAGCCCTCGGCTCCTTCGGATGATTGGTGGACCCTCTACACCGACGGCTCCTCCACCGTCAAAGCATGTGGAGGAGGGGTGGTTCTCATCTCACCCAAAGGCTTCCGGGCCTATTATGCAGTCCGCTTCTCCTTCAAAGTCTCTAACAATGAAGCCGAATACGAGGCCCTCCTCTGTGGCCTTCAGCTGGCAGCTAACATGAAGGCCCGACAAATTCACGTCAAGTGCGACTCTAAGTTAGTCGTCGGCCAAATCTCCGGGGAGTACGAAGCCAAGGAAGGGAGAATGAAGCAATACAAGGAGGCGGCCAAGGAGTTGCTTAAGGTATTTGAGGCACACTCTCTTACTCAAATACCGAAGGCTCAAAACTCTGAGGCCGACATTTTATCAAAGCTCTCGGCAAAATCCCTTGAGCATATCTCGAAGATTGCCAAAGTGGAAGAGCTCAGCCTTTCTAGCATACATGCTAGCCCCATCATGCACATACAACAAAGGCAAGGTGATTGGATCTCAGACATTGTCGCCTTCATCACCATAAGGCAACTACCCGAGGATGAGGCCCGCGCCAATCTGGCAAAGTTGAGGGCTCCCAGCTACACTATCGAGGACGGAAGGCTTTACAAAAGGTCCTACAACGGGACATTACTTCGATGCCTTCATCAAGATGAAGCCGAAGTGGCGATGGAGGAAGTGCACAGTGGCACTTGCTCAACTCACCAGGGACCCTTCTCCATGTACCGAAGGCTAATAATCCAGGGCTACTTCTGGCCCACAATGGCCCGGGATTGTGCAGATCTTGCCTGAAGGTGCTCCGCATGCCAACACTTCCAGAAAGCCCCCGGCAGGCCAGCGGTCAACTATGCCCCCATCAGCACATCCATACCCTTCGCTCGATGGGGCATAGATCTTGTGGGCCCTCTGCCGAGGGGTACCTCCAACAACAGGTACATCATCGTCGCCATCGATTACTTCACCAAATGGGTGGAAGCTGAGCCCCTCGCCAGCATTACTGAGGCCAGGTGCCATCATTTTGTTCTCAAAAACATCCTCACAAGGTTTGGCGTCCCCCACCAAATCATCTCCGACAATGGGACTCAGTTTGAGGCAGCCCCCTTCTGTGCCCTTCTGGAGGCATGGAGCATCAAACACACCTTCTCATCCGTTGCCTACCCCAGGGCAACGGTCAGGTGGAGAACGCCAACATGACCTTGCTCGAGGGCCTAAAGAAGAAACTGGAGGCCGAGGGGGGTGGCTGGGTAGAAGAGCTCCACAACATCTTATGGGCCTACCGTACCACCCCTCGGCGGGCAACTGGCGAGACACCCTTCTCCCTTTGCTACGGATTTGAAGCTAAGGCCCCCACTGAGGTAACTCTTCCCACCCGAAGGGTCGCACAGTATGATCCGGAGGCCAACGACACCAATATGGCCCTCGACCTCCACCTTATCTCAGAACGCCGAGAGCAAGCCTTCGTACGCGTGGAAAACTACCGAAGGCAAGTGAAGAGTTACGTTGACGCCAGGGTCCGCTCCCGGGAATTCCAAGTGGGGGATTATGTCCTCCGAAGAAGGGAAGCCAGCCAACCAACCGAGGGCGGAAAGATGGCACCAAAATTCGAGGGCCCTTACATCGTGGCAGCCATCATCAAACCAGGAACTTACAAACTAAAACGCCCTAATGAGACTGAAGTCCCTAGACACTGGAATGTACATGACTTAGTTAAATTTTATCAATAACATCAGAGCGGCCAAGCCCTCATAACTAGTGAATGTATTACTTTGCGGCCCAAGGCCTAGAAATTTTGAAGAATGAAGGCATATTGAAGACACCGAGAACATGGAACAAAACTCTTATGAGCGGCTAAGCCCTCATATCGACCCCTACAAGGAAGAACCCTCGGCACCAAGTGCCGATGGTATACTATACTGCTATCCGCAGCGTGAAAAAGGAACACCAAGTGTTCCTACAGAAGATCCCTCGGCACCTAGTGCCGGGGGGATACACCCCTGACAACTTTCAACAAATGGGAAGAAACACCAAGTGTTTTCACAGAAGACCCCTCGGTACCAAGTACCGAGGGTAGACAACACAATCACCTACAACAAATAAAGGGAAAACACCAAGTGTTTCCATAGAAGACCCCTCGGTACCAAGTACCGGGGGGCGTACATCGGAACAAACACCAAATGTTGTTTCTAAAGCCGTACCCCTCGAGGATGCCTATACCAAAGGCGCCACCTCTCGGTCCCGGCAGCACGTAGTGCCCCCGGCCATTTGCAACCAGTGTGCAAATGAAAACCCTTCCCTGAAATGCTTTCCGTGTCATTACCCCAAGGGTATGACGGGCATGAAATATGCTCAGGATTCGACTTTCAAAAACGGAACGCTTTCCGCGCCATTTCCCCAAGGGATTGGCAGGCATCTAAAATGCCCAGGATTCGACTTCCAAATCGAAACGCTCCCCGCGCCACTACCCCAAGGGTGTGGCAGGCGACGGACTACGTCTAGCGCCGAGGGGACGACTTTCAAAACTGAGGCGCTTTCCGTGCCATCCCCCAAGGGGAGGCAGGCTACAGACCACCATATCTTGTACCCAGGAAACGACCCTCGATCCCCTCGGAATCCGGAAGGTTAACCCGAGGGGGGAGCTAATGGTGTATTCTGTTACCTCCCGATAGGCCAAGCCTTACCAAGAAACCAAGTTTCTTGAAGCCTTCCCTTCACTATTAAAAAAAATGGGGTGGTGAAGGGGAGTAGACCCAGCGAGAAATCAATGAGTACATCACTCCAACAATTCACGGAAACATACCGAGGGCTCCCCATGGGAACGCCTTCGGTACCTGGAAGCTCATGAGTACCAAGGATACCATTCACAACAGACATCATCAACAAATGGCTGAGTCCACTCAATGATTGCCTCCGGATATACCTAAAACTGAATGCTCAAATCCTACAAAACATGACAGGCTCAACCAACAACAACTCAAAACGTCCCCGAAGGCTGCTATATAACAAAGCTATCAGATGGTGGCCAAACCAAATCAAGAATCACCTCCGGCAACTCACTACATGCCGAGGGGATACATCCAGACAATTCCCGAGGGAGTCTGCCTTTTTATGCTAGACTTGGATTGCAAACTCTCATATATCAACATTGGGGGGACATAATAAACAGTTGAAGGCTTTTGTTACCACAGGCCAACGTTGCAAGACAAAGGGAACTATCCTAAACCTGCAGAGTGTACATCCGAAGGGCCCCGCCTGAAGGCTAGCAACAGGAAGTACTTAGGAAAATTTTCTAAGTCCTGAGTACTCTGCCCTCTGACGAGTCACCATTCAACCGAGGGTACACCTACGACAAGGCTCTCACATTTCACCCGAAGGCTCCTAACTCATACAACTACACTTAGAAATATTTTCTAAGTCCTGAATATCTTTGACCCTCGGTCAAATCTCCATACAGCCAGAGGGGCCATACGGTTGAAAACTTGGTAAAGCTATACTTAGAAAACTTTTCTAAGTCCTAAACAATTTTGAGCCCCCGGTTACATACCCACGCAGCGAAGGGTACCCAGGTACCGAAGGCTACACAGTATCCAAACACTTAGAAAAATGTTCTAAGTCCTGAGCACCTAGCCTCCGGTTATCTCATGAAGGCTACACAGAACCAGAGGGAAGGAATTAGCCGGGGACCAACAGATGAACAACACTTAGAAAAATTTCTAAGCCCTGGACGTTGAGCCCTCGGCGAAATGTTCAGATGACTAAAATAGGCCTACTAGCCGAGGGCTACAAAAGGCACTATGCTTAGAGGAATATATTCTAAGTCCTAACATACATTCAAAGAAAGACAAGGGCATACATTCAGGAAAGGCGAAGGCACACATTCAGAAAAAGACAAGGGCATACATTCAAAGCGAAACAATCAAAGGAAACGAGTTATATGCAAAAGCCCGAAGGCAGGTATTCATTCATCAAAAAGAAGGAGAAGTTAAAGTGTGTTGTACAAAATGGACGAGGCCGGGAGCATACAAGTATTCGTTACAACAGAATTGATCAAAATGAGCTAACTACAAATCAACTATTATCAGCCCCGGAGGCAGTCTCTTCCACAGGCTTTGAAGTGACATCTATGCCGGCCTCTGCTTCGTCCCCTTCGGCCTCCTTCATTAGCTCTGTGTCTTCCAAGTCTGGCCTCTCGACATCCGGGGGAAGAGGAACGCGGACATCGGGCTGCAGGGGAGGAAGGCCGTATGCCGCCGGGTCGAAGTCTTTTGGATCGATCTTCAAGTGACGGGCCATCCTCCGGTAGATGAGGGCTTGAGTAAAAAACTCACCCCCATCGTAGTACTGTTTACCCTTTCGGGAAACCCACTCCATACCAGGCCCGTCACAACATTCATCGACGGAGGACTCCACGACCGAGGACAACCACTATTTGTGCTCCCCGGCTTTCCACCCTCCCGCAGAAAATCCGGAGACGGTGTCCTCTCGGGCCTTCGCGACGGCATCTGCCTTGGCGGCCTCGGCCTCCTTGGTGGCTCTCTCGAAGGCTTCGGCTGCGGACCTCTCAGCATCGGCCTTGCCCCGGTCTGCGGCCTCCGCCTGCAGCATCATCTGCCGAAGGCTCTCCTCCAGCATAGCCATCTGTCGGATGGCATCAGAGTTCTGGCAGATGAGCTCCCGCATCTTCGCGTCCTACTCAGCCTTGTGCAGACGCCACTCCTCCAGCCTTCGGGTCTGTTCACCGAGGGCAATGCAAGCCTGCAAGTTATAAAGAAGTTAGGAAAGCCGTACAATATATCCTAGCACAAAGTAAAGCGGAAATCAGGGAAAAACTTACAGTGAGGGAAGACCGGAGGATCTTGTCCTCGAGGGCCAGGTCATCATCAGCCCCGAGGGCGGCTCTGTCAATCTCGGGGGTCATGCCCTTCAGAAGTACCCTCGGGTCCACCATGCAGTTCATCACGGCCGTTCCCATCGGGAGAGAAACCATCAGAACCTCGGAGGGTGGCTCCCGGACACCCCTCGGAGCTTCCGCCACCGGCATCTCCACATGCGTTCCGGAGGCGGGGCACTCATCTACGATGACCACGGGAGGATCCTTCTTCCTGGCATCTCCCTTTTTTTGCCTTTTGCCCTCGGGAGCCTTGCCCGCGGCCTTTCTCTTCGCAGCGGCGGCGGCGTCAGCACTTGGGACCGTCGACGGCCCCTCGGGCATCTTAAAGAAGTCACCGACGGGTTTAGGGATGCCAGCATCCGTCCCCTTCGGGACCTTTGAGGACTTCTTCTTCTTCAGGTCAGCGAACCCTCTAATGTTCATCTTGGAGACCGGGATACCTGCAACACAATATGGGGTTAGGCCGACGGGTCAGTAACAGATGGCGTGAAAGTACAAAAAAAAGACAAACTATGTGCTAAGTACGAAAATAAAGGTGCTCTCAGCTTCTACCTCCTAAACCCCCGGAGGCTCCCTCAAATGCCGGGTACTTTTCATCCGTTTCCCCCAGGAAGCGATACCACCGGAACCCGAGGGCATAGAGGTCCCCCTCTTGAGTGCACTCCTTGATGGCTATGTTTTTATCTCGACCCTCCGGGATCTTGGCCAGGATCCTCCCATCCTTCTCGAGGGCGGCGCTCCTCACTTTCTCGTGCCTTCTGAACCGATCACGCAGTTCCCTCGGGAAGGGGCTCTCGGCTAACTTTATGAAGCACCACCGGTCTTTCCACCCTTTGTTTGAGGAGGGCGCCTCAGTAAACAGCTTGAACAAGGCCACCTGCTGCAAGTTCGCGAAGCCCTCGACATTCGCATGTCCCCCCCCCCCCCCCCCCCCCCCCCCGGCATAAATTGAAACTTTGAAAGAACAGGTCCAGGCTAGGCGTTACCCCTCGGGACTTGCAGAGATGGAGGAAGCCTGCGATGTATGAGTGGTTGTTCGGCGTCAATTGACAGGGGACCAAACCCACGAACTGAAGGTATTCCTGAAGGAATGGGTGTAGGGGGAACCGGAGCCCCATCGATACGGACAGGATGTGCACAACGATGCAGCCCTCGGGAGCCCGGGAGAGGACATCATCAGGATTCGGCGCCACCACTACGGCCGAGGGCCCCACATGTAACTGGGTGACGTAGAGATCCGCCTCATCAGCCTTCGACCTTATCTCTAGGGCGGTGGTATTCAGGTAGGAGTACCCCTCGGGGATATCGAGGGGCTTCCCTTGGTCTGTGACGCTGCCTTTCTTCTTGGAAACAGCACCCTTCGTCTTCTTTTTACCGAGGGCCACCCGGAGGGGAACCGCGTTCAACGGCCGAGAGGTGCTGGCCTCACCAGTGCCCCGAGGGGGGAGAACAGCGACGGTGACCCTCGCGCCCTCTCTCTGCGCCTCTTCCTCAGCTACTTGCCAGGCGAGGGCCAGCTCTTCGTCCTCGCATTCTTGTTCGAAGCCCTCGGCTTCCACCTCGGCGACGAGGGCTCTCTGCAGCTCCATCGCTACAACGACATCTTGTCCCACTGAGGGCTGCTCACTTGTGGACTCCACGCCTGAGATGATTTCCTCCTCCATCGAGGGCGCCCTCGAGATATCTTGAGAGTCGCTTTGTGAAGACATCGTCTCTGCTAGCTCAGGGGTTCAGGAATACTAAGTGCCCTAAGCTGCGATACCTAAGTACAACTCCTAAGACCGCTAAGCACAGGTAACTAAGAGAGGAGAAGAGCAGGTGGGAACTGACCTTGAAACGGGAGTTAGATCGTGGGCAAGTGTTTCTCTCTCTAGAAAAAATCCGGCAGATCTTCGCTAACAAATGATCCCACAAGAGGAGTGATGCCCGGCCTTGGGGTATTTATAGGCGCATTAATCCGGGCTTGGGCCTGAAAACCGGGCCTCCAGTACAAAATCATCATTGCCAACCGACGTGTTGCCCAATCGGTGACACCCGCCCACGGGCGGCCAACGAGCACGCACCACGTGGAAGCCCCCCCCAACGGCTATATTTTGACGTTAGATATTCCAACAGCTATATTTCCAACGGCTATATTCTGGGAGCTCCCGGCTATATTCAGTACACCACTCCTCCGTCAACCAAGAAGCTAGCCCCCGGGCTTTTTACTTCACTACACTTCATCAAGAAGAGCCCCCGGGTACACTTACCCCGAGATGCTCCCGGTTTAGGCCCCTCATACAACATGACAAATGCCTTCGGGCTCACTCCTTCAGAATCCCACGGCTTCATAACAGGCACACCCCACTCCTTCAGAAGCCCATGGCTTCATAACAGGCACACCCCTCGGGGATTCCCCCCTCAGCACTTTGAGGACCAGGTAGCCCCCGGGGAGTACACCTCATTGACGGATAGCCTGCAGCACACAAGTAATGGGAGCCTTCAGAGACCCTCCTCACCAATTGATCAACAAACAGGGGACCCCCCGGTAACACTTCAACTAGTGCTCACATTCATCACGCCCTCAATCCTCGGATTGAGGGACTCCCCTTCGTCGACTCCAAGGATATCAACAGCAAGCCTCCGGCTAATCAACACACGCGCCCTCAGAATAAGGATAGCCTTCGGCACCAGTATTGTACTCCATTTCAAACCAGGACTTCACATTTTCGATTCATCGTTGGGGAATTCGGTGCACTGTTTTTCCCTCATTAGGATTTTTTCCCACATGGATTTTCCTAATGAGGTTTTTAACGAGGCATCCCCCCAAAATGAAACGAAAAGCGTCAGCCTTCGGCCCAATACAGCAACATGATTACTCTACTCCTTTTCACCACTTTGCAAATGCCTCAAGGAGTGGGGGAATGGAGACCCCCCTCGGGAAAAATCACAAAAGTACAAAATGCTGAAAACTCCCGCAAACAGCAAACATGACCCCTCAAGTCCCGACATGTGGGTAACTGAGGGACTGCCCTCGGCAGAATAAACAAACAACAAACTTCCTGCAACTCTACAAACTACAACGGAAAAACGGCAGAGGGCAAACACAATTACTCCTTTTCCCTCAAGTACCTTTCGGCAAAAGGAGTGAGGGACTCCTGATGGAGTATATGGCCCGGGAACCCCCGGTCCACAGACTCCTACTGCTCCAATAAAGGCCCAATAGGCCCAGGAAGCACAAAAGGTCCAAATCACAGCGCCTAGAGTACCAAGCGGCCCACAGTGAGCGCTAGAGGTGCCTTCGGCCCCCTGGCCGAAGGCTCTGATTCTCACAGGAGGGTCAAAACAGGAAAACAAAGTCACTGGGAGAAAACGGTGAAAATCAGTAGCCCTCGACACCTAGATCCCTCGACACTAAGGAGGTCCTCGGTACTCAGAGCCCTCGACTAATCATCTACAGCCGAGGTCACATGCGCGTAGATCACCGTACCAAGTACGACGTCACATCCAACAGCCGCATTAAATGCGGCCACATGCGATTGCCAGCGCCAACCAGTTGAGGTGACCCCTCGGCCAATGGATGCTTGACACGTGTCCCCATCTGGCATTTATTGCTACTATAAATAGCACCCCATTTCCCCGTTGTAAACCACGCTAAAAACGCTGAATACACTTTCTAATATACTCTCTCTCTACATTACTTGCTCTGACTTCTCTCTAGTTATTCCTCGCAATAACCCCTCGGATAAGCTACCCCCGGGTACACTATCCATCACCACTGAAGCCTCTTGGAGCCCACCTATTCCTTCTGTCATAACCATCGGGTTATCATTATCACGAAGCCATGGGTCCTTCCAAATATTAATAGATTTTCCATTCCCGACCCGCCAATAATATCCATCCCGAATAATGTCTTGAGTTTGAAAAATACTCCGCCAAATGAAGGAGGGATTGTTACCAAGAGTAGCATCCAAAAAATTACCTTTAGGAAAATAACGGGCCATAAAGACTTTCCTAACTAAGGAGTCAGGATTAGTGAAAAGTCTCCAAGCCTCCTCAACTTCTTAAAGCCCAATCCCCCGACCCTTTTTGGTTGACAAAGATCAGACCAACTTTTCCATCTTATACCTTTTCCATATTTACCCCTCCACCAAAATCCATTCATTAAAATTTCAATTTCCTTGCAGAGTTCATTAGGAAGCAAAAACACATTCATAGCATGTGTTGGCATGAATTGAATGACAGATTTTAAAAGAACTTCCCTCCCTGCTTTGGATAAAAATTTATTGTTCCAGCTCATAATCCTACTCACCACCCTTTGTCGGAGATAGCCCAAAACGGCTTTTTTTCCCGCCCTACCAATGTTGGAAGCCTCAAATAGGTATCATCGCCTCCGGCCAGCCCCACTCCCAACAACTCTAACAAACCTTCTCTATACTCAGTCAAAACATTAAAACTGAAGAAGACTTTTGATTTATTAAATTAATTACCTGCCCCGATGCTCCTTCGTAATCAGCCAGCGCCTCCTTAACCAAAGTTGTTTCGGTATGTGTGGCTCTAAAAAATAGCAGACTATCATCTGCAAACAATAAATGTGAAATCCTCGGAGCACCCCGAGCCACAGAAACACCATGTAAGCGGCCCATAGACTCATATCTATGAAACAATGCGCTAAGCCCTTCTGCTACTATCAAAAATAAATACGGTGAAAGAGGGTCTCCCTGTCTCAAACCCCTCCCAGGCGTAGGAAGATCAATCTCAGAATCATCAAAAGGAATGGAGTAAGAAACTGAAGAAACACACTCCATAATCAACTTCACCCACCTATCATCAAATCCCATATTCTTCATCATCCCCTCCAGAAAAGACCATTCAACTCTATCATAGGCTTTGCTCATGTCTAATTTAAGAGCTACAAATCCAGTTTTACCATACCGCTTTCGTTTCAAAAAATGTTGGGATTCAAAGGCTAGCATACTATTATCAATAATATGTCTACCCGGAATAAAGGCGCTTTGCTGCTCCGATATACAAATCTGCAATAGTTTTTTTCATTCTATTAGCAAGAAGCTTGGAAAAAAAATTATATATCACATTACAAAGCGCTATGGGTCTCCAGTCACCAAGGGATTCGGGTTTATCTTTTTTAGGTATCAACACAATATTTGTATGATTAATTTTGTCCAGCAACTTACCGGATTCAAAAACATTCTTACAGAAATTAATCACATCCGTCCCCACCACATCCCAATAATGTTGATAAAAACCCGAACTCAAACTGTCCGGTCCCGGAGACTTATCCGGATACATGAAAAATAAAGCTTCTTTTACCTCATCTCCACGGATCGGTCGAAGAAGATCAATATTATGGGAATTCCCCAGTTTACACACCCGAAATTAAAATCCCCGCTGCCCGACCCTGCTTTGAAGAGCTGAGAAAAATAATCGCCAATCATTTTTCCAATCTCTGGCCGGTCTTGCTCCCAACGTCCATCCTCAAGTCGAAAGCCTTCAATTTTATTTTTCCTCCTATTCTTAACAGAGTTGTGAAAGTAACGAGAATTAAGATCACCTCCAGTCAACCAAAATTCTTTAGCCCGTTGCCTCCAATAAAGTTTTTCTTGCTCTAAAAGCCCCAAATATTCTTGTTTAACTCTCTGAAATTCCCCCAAACTCCAAACATCTTGGCATCAGCGCAAATACTCGAGCCTTCTTTTACAAAATCTGATCCTCCTCCCGTAAGAACCAACTTTGCAATAACTCCAAGCTCCAACCGCTTTTCCGCAAGCTTGAATTTGACCCACAACCCTCAGCGTTCGGCCAATACCCCAACTTCTAGCAACAATTTCCCGACAGTCCGCTTCACGCAACCAAACATTCTCAAACTTGAACTTACGTTGTCGGCGGAAATTTTGGGAAGGAATAAGCTTTATAAAAAGGGCCATATGATCACTTGGAGCTCCTTCCAAGGATTCTGCCGTAACCTCACCAAAAATGTCAAGCCAATTTTCCGAGACCAAGATTCTATCTAGCTTCTCCTCCACCCAATGTTGTGAGCCCCGTCCCCTTTCCCACGTAAACTGATAGGCATGAAACGCAAAGTTTTGTAAGCCACTCTCCCAGACCGTCTCACGAAAGCCTCTAGATAGCCATGATGGGTGAGGGATTTTGCCTCTCTTTTCGTTATCAAACATAAGGTCATTAAAATCTCCCATGACAAGCCATGGAAGGTCCTCATCCAAACTTAAAGCTTTAAGGAGACCCCATGATTCTCTACGCTTTTGCCTCTCTAGATAACCGTAAAACCCGGTGAAGCGCCGATTTGGTGCACTACTCTCCAAACAGACTAGTGCATCAATAAAATGAGACGATGACCTCAACAATTGGACCTGGATCCCTTCTTCCCAAAGTAAAGCGAGACCTCCCCTATGTCCAACATTATCCACAACGAAACAATGTGTCATGCCAACTTTCTTCATAATACCCTCCATTCATCTTTTATTAGAAAAAGTTTCCATCAAAAAAATTAAAGACGACCTCTTTAAGTGGATCACATCCACCAATGCTTGAATTGTCGCAGGGTTGCCAAGCCCCCGACAGTTCCAACTAAAGCAACTCATGGTTCTCGGCGGGTCTGGGAGCCAGAACCCGCCGCTACTCCATTTTTTGAAAATAAAACCTCCATATTCTCTGCAGCATTTCTCTCCTTATAAAGAAATCCGGGACTCACCGCACCTCCTCCAGCCGCTTTACGCTTCTTGGCCGTACCCCCATCCTCCTGCCCACAGACTTCCATAGCTTCTTCACATTCCGTGATATTGCAATTCCCCAACTGCAGCTTGTTAGATGGTCCACCGTGAACAAACTGCCCTACTTCGTTTACCAGCCACCTACTGCCCTTGCTGGCACCTCCTTTTTAAAATCCAGCTCAACCTCCATACATCTTCTCCTTACCTCCTTTTTCATATTCAAATCGTTTCGGACACATTCGATCCATGTGGTTCATAAGCCCGCATATAAAACAGAAATGCGGTAATCTTTCGTATTTCAAATCCACCCATATAGGTTCACCTGCCCGTTTCAGTTTCACTCGACGTTTTAGAGACATATTAACATCAAATAAGACCTTTATCTGCATAAACTCCTTCTAACCTCCGGTAAAAAATTTTGCATATGCCAAAACGAAGCTACCAACCTGATCACCAATGATTTTAGCCACTTTCTGTGTGAATAGTTCCATAGGTAAATTATATGCATGCACCCAAAAAGACATATGAGTCAAGGGAACATACACTGGATTATCCGTTCGTTCCAATGTCCTTACTCCTTAGAACCAGCAGGGAATTATCAAAGCACCAAGGGCCATCTTCTAAAATCCTCTCAAAATCAACATTATCATAAAACTCCAAGAATATGCCTTCCCCAATCTCACAGATATACACACCTCTACCAAGCCGCCAAACATCGGCCATAGTATCTCTGAAGTACGGAAATTTAATCATCCGGTCAGAAAGTAAATTGCCTACCATGCATAGCGGTGTCGTCACGTCAGGCTCTTCTCCTAGGATCTCGTCCAGTTCTACCCCATCTTCTTCCTCATCTTGTATAGTCATACGAGCATACGAATCCTCCATTCCCTCCGTCATGAACGATGATACTCAGCGTAGATTAACGTCAAAGAACGTACGTGAATAGTAGAACAACAACAAAACCCTAGACGACTAGGGAGAGAAACTTGCAATATCACAAGTTAGTTATTTTAATGGTGATGGAGTATATGGTCCGGGACACCCCGGGCCACAGACTCCTGCTTCTTCTACACAGGCCCATCAAGCCCGATGAGCACACAAAGCCCAAACGTAGCGGCCCAAGCATGAAGAAGCCCACGCTGCACACGTGGATGCCTTCGACCCTAGGGCCGAGGGCTCCAAATTCTAGGATACATCTTAATATGGGCCTGCAAAGCTTCTGGAAAATCCTGGCTAAAATGTTAGCCTTCGGCCACCTGATGCCTTCGGCCACACGATGCGTTCGGCCACCCGATGCCTTCGGCCACCCGATGCCTTCGGCCACACGATGTCTTCGGCCACCCGATGCCTTCGGCAACAGAACTATCGACGAAAATTCCTTTTAGAGGCAGCCAACCACTGCATTTAATATGGCGTCACATCCATCCACCGCATTTAATGCGGTGCACATGCATATGTCGGCGCCACCCCGATTGAGGTGATCCCTCGGCCGTTAGATTGTTGACACGTGTACTCTCATCGCATTTATAGCTGCTATAAATAGCAGCCCTTATTCACCTTGTAAGACACACAACGAGTTCATTTAATACATTTTGACTCTCTCTCTCTCTTACTTGTTGCTCTGACTTCTCTCTAGTTATTCTCTGCAATAACCCATCTGATAAGCTACCCCCAGGTACGCTATCCATCAAATGGAAAAAGTGACAATTGTTTTGGGACAAAAAAGTGAATATTGGAAAATCCAATGGAACGGAGAGAGTAGTATATAAATTTATGTCATATTTTATCTAAAATTATTCTTTGTATCAGCTCAATCCGATCTTCTCTACACCCATTAAAGATGATTGTCCCCCGATATGTTCTCATTTTACTTTTTTCGTTCATCTCATTAAATTTGTTTCATACTATATTTGATTATATTTATGTCGTTGCATTTCATTCGTACTTTATTCACACTTTATCAACTTAATATCACTAACAAATTTTACTTTTCCTAATAATACAACAATCCCTTTTATCTCAATGTTTCGGGCATAGGCACTATTACTCTACATTTCCAACGTTATAAAACATAGGGATAAATACAAAAAAATTACTTGTGGTTTTCCGTATTTTCAAATAGGAATATGACATTCATTTTTTCAATAAAAACCTTTTTCAAATGTCTTATTTGAAAATGCGCATGATGACGGATGAGTATTGAATTACCCTACCTCAAAATCGACCTACACTGTAGTGAAAAATACATTAATTAAAAAGTGAAAATAAGCCCTTTTATATGAGACTCTGTCTGGCCGTCGCCATTTAGGACGGTTTTCGGTGGAATTTTTTGATTAAATTTTATGAGCATCTTCTTCATTAAGTCTAGTTTACCCATACCAAATTTCAGCTAAAAATTCAATTGAGAAGGCAATCAAATGATTTTATGAAATATACTGCTTTGTCTAACTGCGCAGTTATCTTCAAAAATTCATTTGACTGCCTTCCTGATTGATTTTTTAGCTGAAATTTGGTATGAGTAAACTAAACTTAATGAAGAAGATGCTCAAAAAATTTCACCGGAAACCGCCTAAAAATGGAGACGGTCGGACAGAGTCTCCTATAAAAGGACTTATTTGCACTTTTTATGAAAGTTTGAGGGCTTATTTGGTTGTTCTCCCTTAAAAAGTGAAAGTTAATAGAGAAAAGGTGCAAATAAGCCCTCGAACTAACCGAAAAAAGTGCAAATCATCCCCTTTTTAAGAGGCTCTGTCTGGCCATTGTCATTTGGGGCGGTTACCAGTGGAGTTTTTTGATGGATTTTTTTGAACATCTTCTTCATTAAGTATAGTTTACTCATACCAAATTTCAGGTAAAAATCCAATCAGGAAGATAGTCAAATGATTTTCTGAAATATATTGCGCTATTTAATTGTGCAATTATCTTTAAACATTTATTTAATTGTCTTCACGATTGAATTTTTAGCTGAAATTTGTTGTGAGTAAACTAGACTTAATAAAGAAAATGTTCAAAAAAATTCATAAAAAAATTACACCGAAAACCACCTCAAATGACGACGGCTGAACAAAACTTCCTATAAAAGAAGTGATTTACACTTTACGATTAATTCGAGGGCTTATTTGCCCATTTTCTGAGGTTACTACAATAGTAATTTGGCCATTTCCCGATTTTTCATTTCCAAACAAAGAAAAGAAACGTGTCTATTTTTAGAACGCCAAAACACATAGGTAAAAAAGTGAAAAGTTACTATTACAAAAACGTGAGCGAGAGGAGCACTAGGCCGCAAAACCGCACCGCCCTTGTCTCGGTGTCTGTTTATATTCTCCCTCCCGTCCCCCGAGCTGAAGAAAGCTCAGCTTTTTCTTCTTCCACATTCCCTTTCCCCACGCCAAGTCTCCATCACCGCCACTCCAATAAATGTTCAGTGAGGTGGTGGGAGAGAAGACGGAAGAAAGACTCCACAAGTGAGATTCTTTATCTTCAGTACCATTCTCTGAAAAATGGCGGAACCCATCAAGGAAAGCAAGAACCAGAGCAGCCGGAGGTTGTCCATTAACCTCCCCCTTTTTTCCCTCTCTGATCAGAGAGATTCCCAGAAACCCACCACCCCCAGATCTCCTAAGCACTTCGAGGAGCCAAACGGCGTCGTTGGGCTAGGCATGGTTCCCCTCCTCAAGAGCTCTGGCTCGAGTAGAGCTGTGATTCTTGCCATCTCCCCCAGATCTTCCTCAGCTTCTCAGTCGATACCCATTAATGGTTTCTCCGATAATGATTATAAGATGGAAGAAAATGGGATGTGCGAGGAGTACACTTGTGTGATTTCTCAGGTGGGGGCTAACCAAATCAAGAAAGTTGAGTACTTTAATGGGGAATTCTTGGCAAATACTTGTACTACTACTGATCCTCATATGGATTCAGTGATGGGCGGAACGGCGCCGTTTGGGGCTCCTCATTTTCTTAGTTCGTGCTTTCTTTGCAAGAAACAGCTTCAAGGTCTGGACATTTTCATGTACAGGTATTAATTTCAACCACCCTCTTTCCTTTCTTGGTGTTCTTGGTGAATATTTGGTTTTTGTTCATTTTCCTTTTCTGTAAATTCCTTGGGTTTTTACTTAATATGAGCCTTTATGTGGTTCTTTGATGCTTTAATGGATCTGAATTTTACATCTTCCTAAATATAGAAACAAATAAGAAAAAAACAAAACTTGTTTATGCCCTTTGTTCCCCTTTTGATATTTGAGCATCTTTAAAATTGGATGTTGAATGGACCAGACTAAGCAGGAATATGCTGCTTTAGTGTTATTGCTTTGTTCTAAGAATATATGTCAGTTCGCTTCAACAATCTATACACACACATACATACATTTAATTAATTAATTAATTATTTATAATTCTATTTATTGAAATTATTTTTATATTTCCACCCAAATCTGAAACACACTTTTACTTTGAACCAAACTTCTTTAAGGCTTTCCAACCACTATTAGTTGAGGATAAAGGAAGTCTTAGTATAAAAAAATCCCAGCTTCTCTGATAAGGTATAGTTCAATACATAAATTAGAATGTGAGTCAGTTCATATGTTCTAATACTATTACAGTGATTTGACATATAGCTCAGATTTTTTTTAGTTGCCTAGATTTTTATCAATCTTCTTAGGTTACCATTTGCATTGGTTATGTTATTTGATCAATAGGTTTTGGAATCTGGGGTAACTTTATAATGTATCTACCCTTTCACAGGGATGGATTTAAGGGGAAGCGGGGGCGGTCGCGCCCTTGGACTTTCAAAATTTTCTACTGTATATGTAATACTCCGTATTTTCATTAACTTTTATTTTTCAAAATTAATATATAGCCATACATTAGGTAATACTTAATTGGAGAGTTAAAAGATGAAACATCTAAAATAATTTACATAACTTAAACAAATAAACAATAGAACAACTCATTGCTTAAGACTTAGGATACCTATTATATAAAAAATCATAGTTTTGAAATGTTTAATTATCATTAATTTATTAGATAATTAGTACTCGATTTGTAAAATATCAAACAACATTAAATACAAGACACACTAGTTAAACATTTTTTAGATCATGTGAAGTGAATTTAAAATTACACAATTCATTTACTTCTTACTTTTTAAAAATAATTTATTGCATAAATAATAAAGTTTAACTTATTTTAGGCATTAATACAAATTTAATATGCACCATGTATAAGAATTAGCAATATAATATTATTCTAAAAATAATAATCTCAAACATAGTATTGTAATATTAGCAAAACTCCTCATGAGTCACGAACACCCTTCTTGGTAAACAAAATTTGCAATTCAAAAATCAATTCCTTGTACCGACAAGATTCATGTGATTAAACATGGCAAGAGTTATTTAAAAAGCATTGGTGGTTATGCACCTTTTAAACCCTTTACTTTCAAATAATTTGATAAAATTTTATATATCCTCTTTTATTTTCAAATAATTTTTCTTTCATTTGCTATTTCTTACGCTTTAATCAAAGTTTAATGTATCAATACTTTTTTCTAAAGCATTTACAATTATAAAATCAAAGTTATTTTTCCATTGTCCAAAACTTAGAATTTAATATATTTATATGTCATCATGTATGTAGCTATGAATTCTTTTTGAATAAAAATTAGCCGCAAAGCCATACACTATTGAAAAAAATCGCCCTGCTACACTAGCGAAAAAAGTTTCGCTCCACTACACTAGCGGAAAAAAAATTCACCCACTACACTAATGAAAAAGTTTCGCCCCTTGACTCGAAATCCTGGATCCATCTCTGCCCATTTCATTAACTCACAGAACCTATTGCTTCCAACCACATTTGTGACTCCATTGCTTCTATCCCCCTTTTTTCACCTAGCAAAAATTATTGAAATTTGGGAGTTTATAATATGAGAATTATAAAGTGTCATGTTCTTTGCTTTTCTGAAACAAATTTTGTCCACAAATCAATTTGTGTAGATTTTCAAAGCCAACTCTAAATTTGTTCATGATGATGTGCACCTTTTATTGGTGAAGAATTTTTACCTGGACATAAACCATGCCAAGTGCTGAGTTCCAAATCATGTGCTTTACTAGTAGTGTGGTGAACTGTTTGACAATTTGATATATTGTCTTGAATCCATTAATGATTATATAGTTACTTAAGTGGATCTGTCCTACAATTTTTTTGTTGCTGTTTGCATCAACATCCATATTATGTATGTAGTACTATATACCATAATTTTCTTGCACTTTGGTATGAAAGTTTCTTAAAAAGAAATTGTATGGTTGAGGTTAATGTAAAATGGAAGGAAACAATACTAGCCATACAAATCTTTGTTTAAAAGAAAATGAGAATGGAAAATGGAAGAGACTGTGGAAGGGTTGAATTAACTAATTATTTCATGTGTCCCATAAAAAGAGTCATGTTCGACCAAGGTACAACTTTTTTTAAAGTATAACTATTATAAGTCATAAGTATTATTACTTCATCCCAATTTAAGTGTTTCTAGTTTAGTTACGAGGGTGTCGTAATGATAAAGTTAATTTTTTCCTTTTTCTTGGTAATATTTCAATAAGTATTAAAATTTAAAAGCTGCCACATATTCTTTTATGATTTTTTATTTGACCCATTTCCATATTTGGAAAATTTTACCCTTGTCTAGTCATCCAGAATAACTGTCATTTCTACTCCACAAATAAAAAACACTATTTTTACCGTATTCCACGTGCAAATCTATTTGGGTCAAATTTTATGGGATGGAGAGAGTATTATTTTCCTATTTTTTCACATTTTCTCATTTTCTTTCTACTTTTTCACTTTTTCATCTTTCTCTTTCAGAGTTTCACATTCTTTCTACTCTTTATTCTTCACTTTTCTACCCTACTAATTATTCCCTATAATTTCCTTGATCTCGGTGAAATATCTAGTGGGCCAATTATCATGGAAGGGGGAGTATAAAATTATTGATGAAAATTAGTTAAGTTGTTTGCACGAATTATGTCTGAAACCTTGAATGGGACAACGTGAGCGTTTCTATTTTAGAACCTTTTTTATGGTTAGCTAAAGTAATTATTTTAGACTTGTTTGTTACGAGTACTTTTTTTTGTAATTTTCTTGAAAAGTTATTTTCATTTGATCAAAGATAATTTCTTTTTCTTTTCTGTTGTATAATTAAAATTTAAAACATGTATATACATAAATAAAAGACGATTTCTTCTTTTGGAACAAAAAAAGAAATTTATAAATGGTCTTCTTGTGGTTTTTGTTAGCTTTCACTTTCCACACTTTTTTTCTAGCTTATGGCATCACAAACTTTCAATAAAGAAAGCTCCCATCAGTTCTCTGTACGTTCACCAAATATTGGCAAATTTTCCATCTAATTCCAGTGAAAGGGACAGGGATGTCGACTGGATCTGTTTGTTAGGCTATGTTTGGATTTCAGTAAATGCTAGAGAAAAGTAAGAAAATGTTGAAGAATGTTATTTCCATGTTAAGGTTTTATCTCATAAATGCAAGGTAAAATAACTATGGTTAGTTTTTTTTTTTAAATGTACTTAGATCTGTGAATTAAACTAAAGAGTTTTTTTCAAATCTGTTCCCGCAATAATGTTTAGTTACAAAAATATGACCACAAGTTACTTCAAGATAATCTTTATTTTGATCACAAATTTGTAGTTACTTCAATTAAAAGTGGATTTGAACAAATAATAAACATAAACATATTTAATTTGAACCAAATGTTTTCTTTTAGTGAACATTTTTTCATTCCAGATTTCTATAATAAGATATATCCCCCCCTTATGTTATTTTCCTAGCATTTTCCAAGTTCCAAACGGGCCCTCAGGGAATTTTACTTTTGCAACAGAATATGCATCAAATAAAACATAAAGTTTTATTGTTTCCTACTTTCCTTTGATTTTTGAACAACCTTTGGAAAGAAGAGAAGAACTAAAGCCAGCTATAACTCTTATGGTTTATCACTTGCAGAGGAGAAACTGCGTTTTGCAGCGTAGAGTGCCGGTGCAAACAAATGTCCATGGATGAACACAAAGAAAATCGTGGTACCGGGACGGTGAAACCAATCGAGTTCTCGGTCTCTCCTTGCTCTGGTCCAACGCAGTTCCTTGCTGCGGTGGCATAAGCCTTCTCCCGCTATCTCTACATACATAAATAAATCTAAGAACTACTCGTATAGACAGGTTGCGAAGAGAATAAAAATTTTGTACCACCAGCGTCGAAGTTGTATTTTACAGGCTGTTTCATGAACAGATAGTCTCTGCATCTCAATCCCAAGAAAATATCTGTTTGAGATATCTATTGAGATTTGAGATGTTGATGCATTGAGGAAAAATAAAAAGCATTTCTAAATTCAAGAGGATTATCGAATAACAAACTTCAGTTTGTTTGAACCTGCTTTAGGTGACAAAACTCTATTATATTATTAATGTTGATGACTTGTATGATTTATTATTCTAATTTGCGTTCATTTGTAAAAAAAATCACAACATTGAAACTCTCTCACAACATGGATCAGGGTAAGAGCATCTCCAATGACGAGGTTCATTGCATCACTACATAACATAACCAAATGCCATTTTCTATGGAAAAGAGCAACTCGGTCTCACCCAAGGTCTCTGTGTGAAAGTTGAAAGTGGGCATATGTTCGATGTGAAACAAATTTTAAGTATTTACTTAAAATTGATAGCAAATAATAATATTTGAGAAAATCGGGTATAATCTATAAATATGAATCTTCTTATTCTTCACTTGCAATTCGAAATAAATATAATTAAAGAATTTAATTCAAAATTAAATCTTTCATCTTTCAAAAATTCGAACGTTTTTCGGATCTCCGAATATTTGTTTTTGAGATCTTTGAATTTTCGTTTTTCGAATGTTCAAACCTTTTTGAATGCAGAATTCAGATTGACGGGCCTCTGGTCTTCAAGTAGCTTGATCTTCAACAAAAAGACCATTTTATGGCTTGATCTTTTGTTTAAGCGCTCCCGGGATATATGATTTGATCTTCAATTGAATCTTGATTCAATCTTCATATGAATATCTTCAAATCTTCGAAGATTCGTTCTTCGTATCTTCGAAGCTTCAAAGTCTTGTTCTTCAGATTTTCGAATCTTCAAACTTCGTTCTTCAGATCTTTGAACATTCTTCAATTTTGGACTTATTTCATCAAGATTGGACGAAATAATAACGGATTATTCGTATATTCTTCATAAAATTTGTGGCTTGATCTCTTCCTCTCCTTCAGAATCGTTCAGAGCCTCTTGGGAGCTCTTCAGAGTTTTTTTATTGCGTTTATTCGTCTGGAAGTTCTCTTCCCTTTCTCTCAATGAGACCCCTATTTATAGGTGTGGAGGGGATAAAATATGACATAGGGTTACAGAAATTCGTCCATACCCTTTGAGTCTCAATTAAAACAGGCTTTGTGCTCATGGATACCCTTTATACAGAAATTCTCCCCTTTCTAGCTATTTGCTTGCATTTTAGTAGCTAGAAAAATCAGCATTTATGCAATGTACCTAGACAGCTTTCTTAACAAGGTTTGTGGCACTTTTCCATGCTCATGGATGGATTTCTTAACTAGATTCATTGCCATCTTTATCAATTGGATCGTGTCTCTTTTTTATTGGGTCATTATTTAATAATGGGCTCAAAATAAAGAAATTAACAGGACATGTCCATACTTTTAAAGAATTAATTTATACTAATATTTTTGAGAAACCCCAACAACCATCACGAGCAGCTCAGTAGATTCTGACGATGGCCTAATAAGATATAGTAGAGCCTTACAGAATCTGACATTGGTTCAATTCAAAAGAGGCATTTAACTGAGTTTGATAATATTATGGGCTATCATAGAATAATAAGTCCAAAATATGAAGTACTTTTTTAATGTCCACACTCATTTACTTTATTTAAGTTTCTTTTGTTATTTTCTTTTTGAGTTTTTTGTTGTTGCATTGGTGAGATCTCCGAATGAACTCTCTCCATTTTGTAATATTTGGCCCGACCCGAGACCGGCACTATTTGGGACTGACCTGGGTCTGGTTTCCTGGTATCGGTACCATCCCAGTACCCAGATTGGCTAATGGGCTTCACGGGCTCGGACTTCATTTTTTGCGACTAGACCAGCCGGTCTGGGGGCCGGTTCCGGTCTCAATGGCCATGTTTTTTTTTAAATATTAAATAGAGGGCGGGTGTGCCTGTGATCTAAGCCGACCCGGGATAGGCCCAGACCAGCCCGGGTACTTGGAGCAGAACCGGTACTGTACCAAACGGGTTGGTATCGGGCCCCACTAAAATAGTTAACTAGTTGAGATTATTGTTGTGAACTTCTAAGTGACTTCTCGATTGAGTTTTAAACTGAAATTTAGTGTGCAATCTACACTTCATGAAGAACAATCTCATAAAATTTAATCAAAAGATTTCATCCGAAAGTACCTTTATTATTCAAATGTTAAGAACTTTGCTTCCTCAGAATTAGAATTTATTTGAGACGGAACCGAACCGAACTAATCAAATACTATAGAAACTGAACCAAGAAAAATAGAAGTCCAAAACTGTAGGAACTGAACTGGGCAATTTGGTTCGATTCAGTTCGGATCGACTTTCCAGATTTTATAATTCTATGTTCAGGCCTACTCGAAGGTGTCATGGGTTATAAACCGACGGTTTTAGTGAACTCTATGCAATATAGACATATAACACATGTGACATCATAAATTTTTCATTTCTTAAATAGGATCCTCCACCACAAGTCACAATATAAAAATGATAATTATTATGAGGTTATGTGAGTTAGTTGGTATACTGTGAGCATGCTGATAAAAAAATGATGGTAACCCGGGCGTAAAAAAATGTAACTCACGTTGATAAAAAATGTAACTGCAAGCAAGTCGAAATTTAACTTGTCTAATACGAATTATAAGAAATGTAACATTGATTTTAATGAAAACAAAGAGTCTAATTGCTCAATTACTTTGCGTAAACAGTGAATACGATTTTATTATTAAGGCCATAAACGGTGATTTTTTAAAAAATTTTGTTGCCAAAAAATAATTTTTTTCACAAAAAAAATCATTTTTAAAAAAAGTGATTTTCTTTGTTTCAATATATAGCAAGGTTTACTTATATGGTGAATGTATTTTGTTTTTAATATTAAGGTCATAAAAATGTTTTTTTAAACAACTTTTTTGTCAAAAAATCATTTTTTGCCTTTTTTTTGCAAAACAATGATTCTTTTGTATCAATAGTAGGGATTTATGTTGTGATATAATTCGTGTTATGGAAAATGTAACTCGCGTTGATGGAAAATCCAATTTAGGTGTATGCAAAATATAACTTATTGAGGCAAACACAAATGTAACTCGCGCATAGAAAAATGTCTCACACACAGGAAGATGTTACTCGTGCATAAAAAATATAACTCACACACAAGAATATGTCACTCTCACAAAACAAGATGTAATTCCATATACTATCAAATGTAACTCTAAACATATATAACTCACACATATGAAAAATAAAATCTCATATTTTATCAAATTTAAATCGAAATAAATAAATTTATTATCTTTAAAACACTAAAACATATAAAAGAGATAAGAAATTTATTATAGAAAAAGTGTATGAATATGAAAAATATTGTACAAAAAATAGTGCATAAATGCAAAAAAATACACAAAAAATAAATTCGGTAGTAATTTAAGATGAAGAAAAAAGTAAGAAGCAAAAGAAGAAGGAGGAGGAGGAGGAGGAGGAGGAAGAAGAAGAAGGAGAAGGAGAAGGAGAAGGAGAAGGAGAAGGAGAAGAAGAAGAAGAAGGAGAAGAAGGAGAAGAAGGAGAAGAAGAAGAACTTCTCGTCGGCAACCACATGGGCAACGACTCGCACCGGCGACCACGCCATCGACCACCAGAGGTAGATCGACAAAGAATGTAGCGACGGTGACCTGCGATGGACGAGAAAGAGATGAATCCGATCGCTAATGGTTTGTACATCATCGCCGGCAAGGAGAATGAATGGATGACAATGTTTAATTTGACAACGATGTAACGTGCCAACAAATGCAGACAAGGGCAATCTCTAAGGGCGTTTTTGTCCACCCGTTTAAAATTTAGTCCTATTTACGGTTTAAAAAGTTGTGAGTCCTATATCCGTTGTCAACCTTTGTTTTGATCTTATTTATGTCTATAAAGAGTTGATTTTGTATTTTTGTAGAAAAAAGTAATGGGAATACTCCTCTCTTTTCCCTCAAATTCTCCAACTTAAAAGCCTTGAAAAATCATTATTCACCTATTAAATTAGAGTTGTTAAATCCTTCTAAAAGAATATTGTGATGCCTTTGATTTCTCTTGTAGCCATCTTTGAAGTCACATTCATGTAGAGTGTTGTGTGGGGGTGGACGTGGGGGCGTGCACACTATTACTAGAGTGGGGTGGATTTGTTTATGCCATATGTCTAAGATGCTTTTGGACATATCAAGTAAGCCAACATCAATGCCTCACCATCACTTTTCATCTTCCTGGTCTGGTTCCTGGTCTCAATCTATATGATAATCAATTGTTCAAAAAGAAATATCCAAGAAAAATGAGAAAATTGCATAATGAGAAATATCCATCATTTTAAAAAATTGCATAAATGTAGGGCGTGTTATTTCTTGTTTTATGCCGTTATTATTACTAGTGCAGTTATATGTTCGTCAAGTTAGTCATGACATTTTAAAGATTGTGCTCTAAATTAAATAATAGGTGCGGATGTGTAAATTAGTTTATGTATAAAAGGAATGAAATTAGAAAAGTAAAAACAGATTTTGATTTGAAAAGTTTTAGGGAAAATTATTATTAACCCCGTGTAGTTATGTCATAATTATTAATGTAACATTGTATTTTGAAAAACCAATTAATTACCCTCTGAGTTTGGATCATTCTCATTCTTTGTCCCCTCACATTAATGGGTATGTTTGGCAAACGGCTTATCAGCCAACTTTTAGCTTGTTTGACCAAATTTAGTTGCTTCATTAGTCAAAACACTCAATATTTATGTTTGGTAAATAGTTTTTTAGATTGGCTTATTGAGTCCGAAAAGCTGAAAAAATGGATGGTAGGAAAAGTCAAGGGAGCAGCTTTTTAGATTGACTTCTTTCATTCTTTTAGATTTACACTCTATCAGTCATTTGGAAACAGCCATTTTGAAACAGCCAATTTTACCAAACAATTATTTATAGTCAGCTAACATAATCAGTCGGTCAAAACAGCTAACACAACCCGTTGTTAGAAAACAGCTGACACAACCAGCTGACAGCAACAGCTAACAGCCATTTGCCAAACAAGGCCAATATTTGTTAAATCAAATTTAATATAACTCTTAAATTCAATGAAATTTGTTTATAAATTTAATTTTTAAATTAAAACACAAATTATTGTCATAATTATAAGTTATTATTGTTGATCGTTATTTTTCTACTTAGCTACTTCATCGAGGAATTAATATTATTGAGAGTAGTTAAGGAAAAATACTCACAAGTTAAGATATAAAATATCATGAGTTTTAATATTTTTATTTTAAAAAATTAAATATCATTCAATCTTATAAAACTAATAAACTTTTTACTTGAAAAAATTGGAAGTTAAAATCATCAAAAATTAGTAACAGAGTTAATAAAAATTTTAAATAAATCAAAATCTATGATATTTTATGTCTTAGATTGATTGCTTTCAATTATCCAGCTCTTATAAACCTATATCGATACATTCTATCTACCCGTTTAGGTCTCTTATTCCCTACTTGACCTATCTTTTAAGTCATGAAATGATAAAATTCATTTTTTTTTTTTGTATTTCCTTTTTGCTACACACGAAAGAAATGTCATTGAGATTAATTCAACTCAATGAATTACAATAAGACTTTTATATTCATGATGAAGAAGTGCCTAGAATTTTTATAACACATTTTTAAACAACTTTCTTTGATGTATCTCATGAACATTACTCACGAGTCCTCCCCTTAACTACTCTCATTAATAGTTATTCCACGATCGAGTGGCTAAGTGAAAAAATAACAAGAGTTCAGAGTTATATTAAATTTAATTTAACAAATATTAACAAGAGTTTGAATGCAATATAAGCTTGAGAGTAAACAAATGATAACCTTTACAATGAATTAAATGCTGCTATTTATACTAGATGGGGGTATGAGGTGCTCTAATATGATTGGTAGCCTCCTATGCCACATGACGCCCCCATAATCCAGCATTAACTGCAGTCGGTTACTCGAGCAATGTTCGTTTGGGATTAAGTCCAGC